AAAAAAAAAATCCCTTATTGCACTATCAATTTTAATATATAACCCAAAATACAAGTGCTTAAAAAGCTAAATCTCAAGGAAGTTTATGAAAATATTATAATCTGATCCAGAATACAATTTAAGTCTGCTAGAAGGGAGAGTTTATTTATTCATTTTACATTAACCAACATCACTTTTACTTTTTGTTTTCATTGCATAATATTGAAATATAGCCATTTTTTTCTCAATGTCTGTAGTATTCTAGATTTGGCTTTGGGAAAGCACTGAATACTTTGTGGTTGCATGGTCTTCTTCCACCACATGCCTCTTTTCCATGGATGAGACCAAGAGAACATGAAACTCAACAGGTAAGTTAACTGCATCAATGTGTTTGAAATTGCAAGCTTAAAATCTTTCCCTACTTGTTTTCTTGATGTTATGGTACCTACTAGCAATAAACAAGAACTACTACTTAACCAAAAATTATCCTAAAACCAAATAAATAAAATCCTGTAACTGCTATTATTACTTTTTTTATATTTTCAGCCCATTTGCATATTTATTTCAAATAGAAAGATAAGACCTCCAAAATATAAGAGATCTAACATTAAAGATATCAGCAATCACAATGCATAGGTAATCCTCAAAAATGAAAACAGACTTTACAGTGAACAATTTCCATTTTTTAAAAAAAATTTGCATAAGTGATTACCCAAAGGCTAATTTCAAATGATAAAAACATCTTGGTTAAAACACTATGAACCCTATAGAACTCAATAAATATACCAATCTGTTAACCATTATTTAAGAGGTGCCTAATAAGTGTATTGACCAAAGTATGGTTTGGGAATGAAAATAAAGACATTTTAGAACAGCTCCAAAGCTCAGGAAATTTCAAATCTCTCTGGGGATCAGATATTTCTTGAGGTGCTAAATTGTGAGGTAGAAGTAATGAATGCCATAGGAGTCTAGACATGGGCAACAGTTGAAGAGGCAAAGCATTGCCAAATTATTATGAGACTTCCATGTCATTTTGAGGAGTTTGTAGGTAAGCTAGAAACAATTCAGAGCAATTCACCACAAGTACTTTCTAAAAGAAGCAAAAGGGCTATGGTGATTTTAATGGGAACTTTTAATTCCAGATGACCTTCCACAGCAGGAGTATCACCTACCAGGCCCCATCTAGTAGACAATAAGTTATATTAATGGTGATTGCTTTGTTACTTGATTGTTTCCATAATGGACTCCATGATAAAGGAATTTAATTGATATTTTATTAATTGTTCTTAATCTTTTCATCAACTCACAAAATAAAATAAGTATCCACCATGTGCCAAGCATTTGTTAAAAGCTATATTAATATATTAAATACAAACATGAATAAGATATATTATTCTCTCTCAGTTGACTGGAGGACAAGTATTTACGACAAATAATTATAATCCAGTGAGAAAGTGATAAAATAAGCATACATAGAGGTAGTCATGGCAACTAATGGAAGGAAATAACTCATTCCATCAGAAAGTTCAGGTAGGTACCTTTCCATCTTCCTAAGCAATGGTATTCCCAAAGGAGGTACAGGAACAAGCACACACAACTTTGTAAAATTACATCAATTCTGCCTCCTATGCAAATTCTGCTTCAAGACAAGTCTCTTAGTCTCCCTTCCAAATAAAAGGCATCCAAGCCCTTTGACTGTGGAAATTCTAGGCACCACAGCTCAAAAAACTCTCTCTTCCTGACACTCTTTTCAAATTTCTCTACAGTATGAATATTCTTTGCCTGTGCATCCCCCACCTCTCCCATCACAGCCACCCCTGCATCCTCAACAGTCAGGACTGAAACCTTTCCTCCAGCCCACTGCTGCAACTGCCTTCCAGGCCACAGCCCAGAAGGGAGGGCCTCAGCCTCCAATGCACCCAGGACAGCTGCCCTTGCAAGATGGAGAAATACCAGCGCTTCAGCAACAAGTGGCACCATCAGAGAAGCCACCAACACCTGAGGTGATTGTTTTCTCTGAAATCAGATCAGGTTCATCTACTATTCTGATGAAAGAAAAACAATATGCAGGGCATATTTAAATAATCATAGTGCTCATACCTATTGCATTAAGATACAAATTTCTTATCAATATACCTTTTATTCTGAGAACTAAGTTTTTTAGTCAAACATAAATATCCATTTCTATCCTTAGCTTTCAGAGACAGGGAACACATTCTAAAAGATCTGGTGCCTATAATACTTAGTTTCTTAGTTACGAAAGATGAAAGTTTCATAAGAAGCAGGCCAGCCCAGAAAAATCTGGGCTATCTATCATTGGGGGATTTTTGTGTTGGTAAGGACTGGAGAGAGTGAGTGATTGATCCCTCAACATAACAAGAAGGATTTTGAATCTGCAGAGACGTGCCAACCATGAAAAAGTACTTTGTAAATCTAGGCATAGTGGTTCACAGCTGTAATCGCAGCACTCAGGATTGAGTTGAAGCAGGAGGATTGTGAATTCAAGGCCAGCCTGGGCTACAAAGCGAGACTCTGTCTCAAAATACCACCAAAAAAGTGCCTGGTAATAATGTGAAGAAAAGAAGAATGGACAGAAAAAGGAAGGAACCACACAACTAGTATGCTGCAGGCATACAAAATAATCCCCTGTCATCCTGACTACAATCCTACAAAGATAAATATGATAATCCTTTTTAAATACAAGTAAAGAGACATTTAGAGGTTATAATAAAACTTACCCAGGATGAAATATAAACTAAGTGGCAGAATCAAGTATGTACCAATTCTAAAATCCATTACTTCTTTTTTTACTCAGTAAATTTTAGCAAATCAATGCCAGACATGCCTCATCTCCCTAATACATTTGAGTCATGTCAGTAAAAGAAAATTTTAAACTCTAGGGTATCCCTCCAAAAGACTAAAAGACAGTAAAATGGAAGAATAAATTTTAAATTGTTTCCTTTTAATTGTAAACAAGATAAATGTGTATTTCATTTACTTCGTCTATTTTAACTGGTAACTTTAATGTTTATCTCTGATATAGATCCCAGTGATGGATTTTGCTGGCCCAGAACTTCCAACAGTAAGTACAGATCTCAAAATATAATTCTTGGGAATAAACAGTCCCTATATTTCAAAAAGGTTGGATGTAATTTTTAAATTGTCCTATTTATCCATGAACATGAAGTATTATGATTTTCTAAATATTAAGTACTAAGTTTTCATACTAACCTATCTGAAAATGTTTCATATAATTTGGTCCCAGTAATGGAACCAAATGAAAATAAAACTTTTTGAAAAAAAAAGAAAGAAAGAAATTACTGGAATGGCAATTTGCCTGTGTGAATTATTTATTTTGTTTTCTATCACTTAAAGGTGTTCCATTTAGCCCGTTTGATATCTAGGGGGCCAATACCACAAAGTAAACAATCTACGGTAATTTTTTTATTCATTTCTGTTTTAAATTTACTTAAAATTTTTTCCTTGGGAAATGCATTTTTATAACTATTTTATTCTGTATAGCTTTATCCAGGAATGTTTTACATGTCATATGGAACAAATCAACTGGTAAGTCCATATTCTATTTAAAAAAAAACATCATTTTAATTAATTGTCCTCTTAATAGCTAAAATTATAAAATCCAGATCTTATACAAGATATTCCAAATAAATATTCCCTAAGTGACCTCATTAGGTACTAAAATAGTAAGGTAGCACATTTCCTTATTCACTAATTGTAGCCAGATACACACACACAATGGCATTAAAGAAAAGCTAAATTTTACATCTAGCAAATTGGCTACATTTATTCAATAATGACTCAGCCTCAGCTCTCTACTATGCCTCTAGATACAGCATTAATATTAAGACTTAAGGGAATACAAAGTGACTCTGAACTTTGTGTTATCTACTTTGAGGAGATAAGAAAGTAATAGAAGGCAGCTGGTTCAAAATATGATGCAGTGTTTCTTTTTGAACAGAATGCCCCTGCCAGGCTTGGCTTCATGAGTTCAGAAGAAATGCCCGTGAGTAATATCTTCTAACTCTTCTTAAGACAGTGGCCAGGGATCAACAGTGCAAGAAACACTGGCTATGAAAGTAGCCAAAGAAGCAAAGGACTTAGGTTCTTCCACTCCAAAATCAAAAGCTTAATTGAAGCAATACCAAAAGATTTCATCACCTTTGCTATATAGTCATTCATTTCTGAGTGATGACCATTCTTCAGCATAGGGTTTGTCTCATTCATCATATACGAACAGAAGAGACAGTTCTCCTCACAGGCCATCATCACTGAACTGCAAACAGTTCAAACCAAAAAGTGTATGTGTGGTTCATACAGAGTTCCTATTCCTTTTAGCACCAAAAACAAAAAACAAATTCAGCAGGAGCAGAAAGCAATTCAGACCTCAAAATTAAAAGATCAAAAATGAAAAGAAAATTAATCGAGCCAGAAATTGGATTATTATCACAGTGTATTGAGTCAATAAGAGTATATTCTTTTATCATTATCTGTCTATATCACAAGTTTCATACTTGAGATTAATAAGCCTCTTTTATGAGGAACTTTTCCCTCAGAAATTTGTACATTATGTCTATTAAAGCAAAAAACAACAACCACAGTGAATTAACAAGTCATTGTCAACTACCTATTCTATTGAATTAATAAATATATATACATGCTAATCACTAAAAGAAAACTCACATCTCAAAATTTTTAGTGCCTTCTGTGCCTGACACATAGGAAGATACTATACAGAAAATTAATTTTTTATGGGACTAGGGTTTTGAACTCGGGACTTTACGCTTGCAAAGCAGGCACTCAAAATACATAAAATTCCTGTTTTTAACAATCTTGACAGTCTGATGAGTGGAAAATATTGATACAATACAGAGAACATCAAATTCATAAGTAAAAACTAATGGCTGTTTTATTGGAAGGAAAGATAGCCTAGCCCAGGAATTCCCAGTGCCATCTGTGGATAAGGTGATGTGAAAGCTGAGACTTAGTGAAGAGCCAGGAAAAGGTAGAAGGAAAAATAAGTTGAGTAACTAGTTATTATCTTATCATATTACTCTGCTTCAATTATAAAAAACACACAAAAAAATTTCACAAAAAAAAGTTGATGATAGGATATATGTGAGTCAAAACCATGAGGAAATTAGAATATCTACACGCAAGTCACACAGCCCTATTCACTTGCAAATAGTTCCAGATTTTGGTTCCCATATTTCTGGTAGCAAAGGTAGAGGGGAAAAAAAAGTTCTGAAATTCTACAAGTCCACAGGAAGAAACTATTTTAGTTCCTCCAGAGAAATCAAGCTTTTTCTTATACTTTGTCAAAAAAAAAAAAAAAAGAGAGAGAGAGAGAGAGAGA